AAATAGTACATTACAGGAAATACGAACCTTCGTGCTTTACGCTGCGGAGAAGTTCGAAAGGCAGACAGGGAGTGTGGACAGCGCGTAAAGTGGTAGGGAGTCCGGGTGTGGTTCACTAGGACAGAAAGCGACTTTTTCGCGTTTCGCAGCGCGAAACATTTTCGCTGCGGGAACCTCGGTCCACTGATGATTCGCTGCGGAACCTCGGGTCCACTGATGATCAGCGGTGGACCTGAGGTTCCCGCAGCGAAAATGTTTCGCGCTGCGAAACGCGAAAAAGTCGCTTTCTGTCCTAGTGAACCACACCCGGGAAGTCCGAGTAGAAAGAGCATAGCAGATCAATTAGCGACGCAGACAAGATATCGAACGGTGGGCGGACCATGTTAAGTTTGGTGGAGTCTGTTAGAAGTCCATGGCGCCTAGCGTCTAAGTGACGCGTTTCGATGTAGAAAGGTGGCGCTACCTTTGCACTTGCGTACCTAGCACTTCTAGCCATGGTAAGGGCTTCTTAGGTGGGTCTGAGCCCGAACTTTGCCTTTAAGGATCAATAACGCCGCTGCCAGGAAAATGAGAAGCGCTGGTTCGAATCTCGAACGGAGCAGTGCTCAACCTTTTAACTAGTGTTCTTGTGACAAATTCGCATAGCGCAATGCGGCAAAAGAAAAAACAGCAGGTAATAAAATAAAACAACTTATTGGGAATAAAATGATACAAAATCACTTACTTGGCCCATGACCCTCAAACTGTCGTCTTAATTGCTCGACAAATTCGGGATTTGTTTGTTGCATTTGTTGCGCAAGCTTAATTGATAATCGTTAGAAAGGAGACTTGGAAAATTCGAAATGATCTCAAAACAATTAAAAACAGTAAACATAAGAGAGCATCTGGAAAAAAATCACATACTTGTTGCCCAGCTTGGAAAATGTTCCCGAATCCCGCACCACCCGACATTAATTGGCCCATCATATTTTGAATGTTGGGATCGTTCATCAAAGTCTAAATACAAAGTAAATTTCAGTGCACTGATATCGGTAAGAAGCTGAGGTTAAATAAATATTAATATGAACAGCCGGTCCATCCATAAGGACAGCTTTACCATAGAGTTGGTTCATCTTCTCTCCAAAACACAATAAAGAAGTATAAATCACTCAATTTCGGAGGAAGAATAACCTAGATTGACATTAACATTCGAGTTTACTTAGGATGCGGACAGTAGACCATAAGAAGGTATCACGACCAACAGACAGCGTTATTAGTTTTAAAAAAAGGGATCGGAGGCTACAATGCGGACACCCAATAGCCTAGCCACCCGTTTTGAGAGATGGTCGCACGGTCAAGTTTAGGGTGCAAAACTACAACAACGAGCTGCTTTCAATAGCTTTTAAGTGTCAAGAGAGGCACTCCTACACAAACCAGTCTTGTAGTGGTACAGCGAAAAGGCAGTAAATAATGTGAAATACCTCCTATTTATGCTATTCGATAACTACATTACTATTAAGCGGTCCAAAACGTTTGGAAACTTCTTAGTTTTATCCTAGCGTACAATATACAATGAAAATGGCCCCGAATTCACATATTATATTCAAAATTGTAGATTACGATGGGTAACATGATTTTTTGAAAACTGAAATCGCATTTGAAAAATACGAATTTTTATAGAAATGGCGCGTCAAAAGTTTGGAAACTTCCGAATTCTAAAGCGAATTCGGCAAAATAGCTCTCAAATCACATGATAAATTAGTTATTTGATGAGTAGCTTTGAATTTCTATCTTAGCGTCGTTTTTATTGACATGGTATTGATTATAAAATAATTTTAGGATTTTTAAGTCGGACCTCATACACTGTGAACTAAAGCACATTGTTTGGGGATCTTAACTTTCCAATGTGTTGAGCGGAACATGCCAGCTCTCCATAGATGAAGAACTCAATAGACTTAAGATCCTACTTCGCAGTGAACAACATGTCACTTTATAACAGCTTCTTTTTCTTGATTTTGGAATGCAGCAGTGAGGAGGTAGGCATGCATTGGGTCATTTCCGCGATAAAAAACCCATCTTTTCCGGATAGTTCTGATTATCGAAGGGGAGCGTTGTATTCTAGAGACTATCCTTGTATTTAGCCCAACACACATTTCGCTGGATACTAAGAACTGGGGAATCGCCGAATGGTCGGACACATCTCCATCCATGGCTATACTTCCACTATTTCTGGCTGTTGGAATCTTATACTCAAAATGAGGTTCCCATTGACGAAACACTCGCCAGGGTCCCACCAACATCATTTTAGAAAATCAAAATTCATCGTCAAATTGAGACAATAATCACCTCTTGGCTCCTAGTTATACTGCTAATCCAGTTAAGAGTCAAACAAATTGGCCAATCTCCCCCCTGAAGTCCAATACAATGGCCTTCTATTGATATGTCCCGTAATATTCATCAGTCGCGCCGATTTGCCGCGGCACTTGATTTCATAATGATTTAGAAAAAAAAAAATAGAAAAATCGTCTCTGAGGAGTACGGGACGTGGCCAACCACCTTTCGAAGTATTTGAAGAGGACCAACTTTCTTGTGAAGATACTTTTTTGTGAATGATTCTTCTTATGCTTACTCGACTCCAATAACGCTAGAAACATCCGATAATATTGCTTCCGTAGAGACTGAACTACTAAGAATCAGTTTCAATTTCGTATTCCGGATTGTAGGGTTTAAAAAAGGACCCCATGGAAAAACTGCTTTCTTTGCATATGAATTCATTTTGAAATTACACATTGCTCAATGGTTTAACTAAAATTAACAGAAACAAGTAAATTGAAGAGTAGGAATCATACTGATAAGGGAAACAAAAAGTTTCCAAACTTTTGACGCGCCATTACTTGAAAAAAATCTTATTTCTCAAATATGATTATAGGTTTTTGGAAATTGTTCTTCCCGTCGTATTCTGAACTCGATTTTGTATGGAATATCTAAATTTGGGACAATTTCGTTGTGTATCGGCCGCGCTAGATCAAAAATAAAAAAGTTTCCAAACTTTTGACCGCTACTGAGTTATTGGTTCTTATTCAGCGACAAATCTCCAACTAAACTTGAATCAATACCGCCAACACACGCTTCTTCAGATCCCAGAGAGCACATCTCTCTCATCCATATACCTACGTCATAATCTAACATAGCACTTATAAAGAAAGCCCTTCAAATCAATTGCGTGGCCCTAGCAATTTTTTAGGCACAGCCCGAACTTTTTAACTATTTGAAAACTCGTACCGATGTAAGAAGATGCATGATTACATCACAACCAATTTTCAAATTAGTACAAATGGAGAAATACCTCACAGTTCTAAGAAATGCATTAATTCAGTTTGACCCATAGAACCAAACAAAACAATACCTGCGCCATATTTAACATCTGCGGATTGTTGAATAAGGATGCAAAATCTACACCAGGTGGCAGTGAAGCTCCTCCTGCTCCTCCGGCACCACCAAACATAGCGGCAAAAGGATTCTGAAGGATACATAATTAGCTATCAATCACAACACCACATCTCGCGTTTGACTTACCGGTTGCGCACCACTTGCTTGTGCTGCCGCCTCAAGTTCCTTAACTTTTTCTTCAGCAATCTTCAAATTGTTTTTGAAGCTTTCCTGATTAGGATCCAATTCCAGAGCCTTCTTGTAGGCTTCGACGGCTTGCTCATAACGATTCTGACATGACAACGCGAGACTGAAATGGCAGTTTTGACTAAGCAGGTGTCAAACGCACAACAATCGCATGATTCGCTAGTGTTTCGGAAAGTACGCGCTAGCGATCCCAGCAAAGCTTTTGATCGCTGGCCAATCGCTCGACCAGTCGGGTCGACGGACTACTTGAACTCAGCCCTTTAAACCGCCTCTGCGCTCTCTCGCGGGTCCCTCTCCTCTCCAAGGCTTAGTCCTAGGGCATTCACCCGTTCTCTAATCGTCTGTGCTCTAGCCATCGCGGCAGGACCATTGAGGAAAAATCAAGTAGTCCGTAAACCGACAAATCGCACGTTTCGCTAGCGATTGGCCGCAGTGTCTGACATGCCTAACCATTTATGCGCTACGCTAATTCAGCTTAATCAACTTAAAAATACAGCAGAAGAGAAAGAATTCTACATAAAGTAAGACATGAAGGACATAAATATGAAGATAAATAAAAACGTGTAAAACACGCAGTTAAACATTATTGCATTCATACACGTCAAATAGCATAAATTATCAATCTGGAATAAACGTTAAACGACGCGTTGGCTGCCAAGAATTGCATAAATAATCACACAGAATAAAAGCTAGCAACGGCAAAAAAAAATACAACCATACCCCATTCTGCCGTAGGCTTTGCTGTACTTTGGATCAAGAGCAAGTGCTGTCCTGCAGTCCTGGATTGCGAGGTCATACTGTTCAAGTCGGCAATATGCAGCAGCTCTAATATTGGCAAGGGTTGGAGAAGGGCGATAAAACGCTTCATCAATCAAAAACCTATCAACTACCTTACCTATTGCAGAAGTAAACAGGATCCCGATTCAGTTTGATAGCCTCATTATATTTACTGACGGCTGCATCAAATTGAGATGCTTTCATTAGGTCATTTCCCTGAATAAATAGGCAACAGATGGAAGACGATGTCAAATTTAGGCGCAACGCCAAGCTTACCTCTTCCTTGAGTTTATTTGCCTCCGCTATTTCCGCCTCTGTTGGTTCTGGCAGTTTATCCTCTCCCTGGAAGTACATATATAAAAATAAAAAAAAAAAACAAAAAAATGTACATTTATAATTTCTTACAGTATACTCCACCCACGCAATTGTAATTACAGAAAATAAAGAGGTGCAATAAGTTCAAAGCTGAACACTACACGAACCGAAGGAAGTCCCTCAGCTGCTATAAAAACATCAAGAAGAGGTTTTGATGGTTGAAAAGCGTAATTAGCATCAGTTAGGCCGAATGCTGACTCCATACATTGCACAGCCACTGAAATGAAGTTGGGCTATAACCCCTATCCAAAGCAGGAATGAAATGACTAGAAACCAACCTTCTAAGGCCTCAATCTGGTCCTCTGTGCACTGATTGGCCGACACCTTATGTCTAATAAACTGAATGAATGAGACTACAAGATTTTTCTCATCACTTGACGTTACGGTCGTTGTGGTTGCTGGAGCAGCTTCGTCGGCCATCTGAAAACAGCGGTCACTGCTGGAAAACACTTGAAAATAATAACGTCCGAAATAACACGAGATCGCAATTTATCAGAACAAAAACATCTGACTAAAGGTCGAGCCATCCGCTGCGTTCAGTTTCCTCCGATTATGGATAGATAAGTATTGTGATCGATGCGTATCTACTCCACACTCGAGCTGCAAAGTATGGCCCGATCCTAGGGTATTATTTTACAAGCTATTGTTCAAAAGCGAGTCATAGTAAAACTAGCAAATAGCAAATAAATTGGAAGAAAAATCGAAAAAAAGTCAAAACCTCAGTCAAACAAAAGGATAACTAGGGATGTCAGTAGCACAGTGGTAATTGGCGACACTTACGAGGCGCATTGTACAGGGATCAAATTTCCATTGGATCTTGGTCGAGCCAATTGATCCTTCCATCTCCAACAAATGGCATAATTGACCACACTTGTCTAGGAAGGACGTTACAGCCGAGTTCCATAAAGACTGCCCTCACCACCTCTCCCCCTTCTCCTCTCCACCACAGGCGCCGTATCCTATCCTTCCCCCCCTAGGGGTGCAAAAGAGTCCTTCAAACTTTTTGTTTTCAACGACACAGTTTCCTTACTTCCGCACTTGCTTGCTTTACACACATATATACATTACAAATATGCAGTTTCTCAGGGCGATTTTTGTTGGAAGGGCAAAGAAAATTTAAAGGGCTTTTTGTTCGGTAGCCTAGGGGCGCACGCATAGTCGGTCGGACGACAGCAACGATCGTAACTGTCGCACAGCATTGGATGCGTATCGATCGTCGGACTTGCCTGAGTATTCGACGATTAGATGCAGTTAGACAGTCAGACAGTTGCGATCGTTGCTGTCGGACGACCGACTATGCGTGCGCCCAGGGGACGATAGGATACGATCCCGGAGGCCGTAAGGTATGCTTCCCCGAACAGGAGAGGGACCCCTCCCTGGTAAGGTATGCTCTCCCCGAAAACTCGGGGAAAGGCAATGCCACCGGTTCTCGGGGATGTCTCCCGACTGCATGTCAATCACGGGGATATCTCCCCGATTGCATGTCAATCGGGAGATATCCCCGAGAACCGGTGGCGTGGCCTTTCCCCGAGAGTTTCGGGGAGAGCATACCTTGACAGGAGGTGCCTCTCCTACTCAAGGAAGTATACGTTACGGCCCCAGAAGGCGAGGTCATGATAGTACTGGCGAATTCATTTAAGAGTTACTATGATTTAAAATGGAGCTAGACTGCATCTGAAAAGGAGATTATCAACATCAAACCCTTCACCTGCTTGCCATTGCGATGTTTAGATGCAAGCACAAATTAATTAATTAATGAACAAGGAATCTCAATAATTGCTCCAAAAAATGGAAGTGATTGGAAGAAACTAGAAGAAAAGATTAAAGAAGGAAAAGCAAAAAAAACCCTTAACAGCGGCGAAATCGTGATCGGGACGAGTTGAGAAATTGAGCCTTTCCACGAAACCAAGGGCTGCAGAAAGAAAACGACTAGACTAATGAGATTCATATTGCATTGAACGCCCAATATTCTGCTCCATGGCTAAAAATGCAAAGAAACTTGTGCAGGGGTACTATAAGAGCCGTGTATGGTGTTCCATAAAAAATAAGACTTGCACTTTTAAAAGGAATTAGAGCGACTGAAACTCACTGTGATCAAACACAGCAACCTTCAACTTCAATGGGCTTTTCGCATCGGAAATTCAGGTTCTTAACGCATTTAGAAACTTCAACTTTTTTGAATTTTTATCGCTGCGTCAAACCGCTAACTGCATCTCGTTGATCTGAGTCTCATTTTTCAAAGCTACTACTCCAAATGTACGGGCAGGATGTCGTCGCACAGGTTTCCGGTTTGAATTATAAGGGAGCTGGTTGATTAGCGGGTATTTATATTCCTAAACGGCAGCCATTGTAATTCAAAACATTTGCAATGGAGCACTGCGTAATCCTTTTCGCTTCATTTTTGCTTGATTGAATCGCGAGGCGGTGAAATAATTTGAAAAAGTACTGCGCACAATGTTGGGGTTTCGCTGCGGATATTTCGCCACCGGATTTCTGTTTCCCAACATATGAAGGCCAAAAACTTTGTAGCTCGAGGCACTGGATAAAAGAACAGGAAAGATGCCTTGCCCTCGTTTCAAGTGACGTAGCGAGGTCACGGACCTCAGTTCCGTGACCAGCTACGTCACTTGAAAGGAGGGCAAGGCATTCTTTTAAGCGTTCAACACCCTTTTGAAACGTTGTTCTTTTTGCTTGTGAATCAAATTCAGTGACCACTCGCGTCTTAGGCATGCTGTCCTCATTTGAAAATGCGGAAAATAGTGGCGCAGCACTTTAATGGCTGGTTGGATTTCAATATAATTTTGCCAATGTAATAAAAAAGACAAAAGAATTAATCAAAATGTCCTTATACACAAATATGAAAAGAATAATAGGGCACAATCAAATCATATGCGAGGGACATTACTTTTAAAACAACCTGTAAAACAGGTCAGGGAAACTCCAAATGCTGCACTAGCGAAAGCAATCAGTAAAAATTTTTCAAGATGTCACAGTAATGGAAATGACATCTAGCAAATTATCTCTATGCCTCACACAAAATAGAGCCCAAGTTGAACGCTCGCGGGTTCCTATGGGTGAGTTCATCTAGTTCACAGCGTGCCTAGAGAGATAAGGACAGTATTATCAGAATCGGACGCGGACCATCCTTTCTTTTCCAGGGGTCCCAAGTGATACACTTGGTGATTGTTTGAAACCGTGTCTGAAAGACGAAAAACGGATTTCACATTGTCATATTCAAATGTTCAATACTACAAGGCTTGAAAAACTTTCTAGCAGAAGAAAACCGAAAAGAATCACTCCTCCAGTTCAACAGCGACTAAGGATTGGAGAATGACTGAATACAAGGTCTGATAACATTACGCTAAAAATCAGAGAAATATTTCAGGCCCAAACAATTTTTTACACGTTAAACGTTATTTCCACATAAGATGAAGTCACATATTTACGGCTAGCCTGTAGAACAACCATATGTTGAGAAGTCGTTCTCAAAAACGAAACCAGCTTGATAAGACGAACAACGGTGTTAGGATGAAGGGTCGGCAAGCAATCAGACCAAGCATACAGAGTAATTCAGACATAGTATTGTATGACAAGCATGTTTTCCCTTTTGCAGAGTGTTCATGTTTTCCGACTGACCTTTGATATGGAAAGCCAAAAGCTTGACAACTGTCAGCACTTATGCAAAAAATACCGCATGATGTCAGCATTATGCAAACTACCCAATATACAAAAGAGTACCTCTTACCGTAATGAAAAAAATCGAGAGATGTAAGAATGTTAGTGAAGACAAACCTTCACGAAGGTAAGCCCAAAGACATTTTAAACTTCCACTGAAGCAGAAAACGAGCACTGCATCTCCATTCTGCACAATTAGAATTCTCTGCGAAATTGTACAACCAGAATATCAAGTTAGAGAATCTTACGAAAAGAGTAACTCAGTTCAAAAGCCTTGATTCAGACCTCACTTTAATCCAAAAGAAACCATTCGAAAGGGTGGAAATGAAAGGTAGTGGTTTGCAGATGAAACCAACAAACAGCGATATAGGCATGACAGAGCCGGCTGACGCTTTATGAAGGCTTTAAACGATGACAAACCATAGAAGAAGAGCGAATGTCAACGAAGGCTCGAGACGATTTTACTTGACGTCATTATACGACGCAATACTGCGACCTTCAGCAAAGGACGCGCTTTTACGGACCACCTGATCACAGCGCTTGTGGCTCCTTTTCTCATTTCTCTTGCCACTGCTGTTTTTAAATTGGGAATATCTAGCAAAATTGCACTTTCTCATTGTAGAAAATGCTGATCCAGCTCTTCTGGCTGGGGTCTATTCCAGTTAGGGGGGGGCATCATGATGCAGTTTTTCCAGAAAGCTAGGGTAACTCCGAGCCAGGGGGAGTGTAGCCAGTCTAGGGGGTGGGGGTGAGGGCAGTCACTTGACATGCGTGAAAAGCTGGAATGTTCGAGTTCACACTAGTTCGCCGAGAAACTGCATCATGATGCCCCCCTAACTGGAATAGACCCTCTGGCTGTAATGATAACAAAGATGTATATTGGCAGCCAGCTTTCTGTCCAAGCTCTTCGACTATTTCTTTTCTTTGTTGATGGAATCTGAATTCAGTTAGGGTCTTATCACCGGAGGGCTGCCTTCAGAAATACCAATTTTTGCAATGGGAGGAAGTCCACGAAAGAAGTCCAAAAACGGCACGCAGGACTTCCTTCCCTTGTAAAAAACTGACTCGGTTTATCTGTTTTTGGCTATGGATGTTGGGTGTGGGTACTTAGGACAGAACGCGACTTTTTCGCTCTTCGCAACGCGACATCGCGCGGCAGGCTGGCGCACCCGTAGCGAAAACAAC